GACCATGCCGAGCTCCTCCATCACCGGCCTAGCGAACAAGAGTCGCGTGCGTCCGGAGATCACGCAAGTGAGGATCTCCACGAACTTGCCGCCAGAGAAGGAGGGAACCATGACGCATGCGGTCGCCTCGCCGGTCGCGTCGTCGCCGTACCTGAAACTCTTGCTGCACGGGGGAATCTTCATCTTGTTGACCGGGAACCCTCTGGCAACCAGCTGCTCTCAGTAGCCTTTCAGCGTCTCAAGGCCCACTATCACGCTGGTCGCTCCACTGTCGCGCATCGCCTCCGATGGTTCCAACTCGGTCGAGATGTAAACGTCCTCCGCCTCATCCGTGACCATCCTCGCCTCGGCCACATCGCCCCCCCACGCGCTGTCTCTTGCGGCTCGCGCGCGGGCAGTCCCTGGCGAAGTGGCCTCGACCTCCGCGTCGTAGGCAGATCTTTTCTTCTGTAGCTCTGATGAGTGGTGGATGTGGTGGCTGACCTCGTCCAGGTGAACCTCGGCCGTAGCCGCTGGCGTGCGCATTCTTGCCGCGCCCCTTGCCGGTGCCTTTCCCAGTCGTCTTGCCTCTTGATGTGCCGCGTGCCGCGCCTCGTCCTCGAGCCTGGCCGGCCCTGGGAACGATGGCCGTTGAGCTTCTCTGTGGTGGCGGCACCATCGCGACAACTGGGTAGAAACCTCTCGCCAACCTCATGTCGTTCATCTTCTGCCTCGCGTCCGTGTAGACTGCCATAATCTCGTCGTACTGATCCACATCATGCGACTGGTCCGGCATGGGGGTGCCACTCATGGTAGTCGTCTCGCTGTAGTAGGCCACCTCTGAGTCGAAGCTGGGCCCTGCATGCACTCGTTGATCCTCTGCAGCTTCCTCGTAGTACTCGTCTTCCTCGCATCCGTAGTAGGCCTCCTCCTGGAAAACGTCATCGTCGTCGTAGTCGTCCAGGTTGTATGCTGCCGCTCCCGAGCTCGCTCTGTAACTTGGAAATGAGTCCAGGCCGAACGTCTTCTCCATCTCGCTCTCGACCTTGTCCAGCGACAGGTTGTCGCCGACCTGGCTCGTGATCAGCTGCTTGCCCTCTTTGTCTAAGCATGTCCGTCGTAACAGGAACCAGCCGAGCACCTCGTCTGGCAAGATGACGTCGTGCGCGCGAACCTCCCGCTCGGCCGCGCGAAACCTCGCGAGGTAATCCATCAGATTCCCCTTAGGCCTGCGAGCTGACCTTAAGAAGAACGTCTCGACATCTGTCGGCAGTTCCGTGATCTGGTCATACTTGTACGCCCGGTCGAGGGCGTCTACGATGGTCTGCCATCCTTTCTCCTCCTCGAGCTTCTCAATGTCTTAGTCCTCGACCACCTCCCACGCCCGGCCGCTCAGGCCTTGCATGATCTCCAAGCCTACTGTCTTCTCCTGTTCTCGTCCACGAGCCCGCGCTGCGAATATCTCCACCTTCCGTCGGAAGGTCTTGTACCCGTCGATCGAGCCGTCGAACTCTGGGGCTCGACCCAGGAATCCAGAGGAGAGCTGCTGTCCATCTCCAGCCGCCGCTGCGCGCCCGAGCGCGCCTCCTGCCGCTGCTCCTCGCCCCCCCATTGCCGCCTGGTGGTGGCATCGTTGAAGTACTTCACTATGTCCGTGTGCGTGTCCGTGGAGCTACTGCTCCGCTACCAATGTCAACTGCTCAACGCTCTCGAAATCGTCGAACCTCACTCGAAATCCGTTTCCCGCCCTCGGCCGAAACGTCCTCGACACCGTCCCCGATCACGCTCTGCGGGCGGGGAAGGGTGATGGTAACCTTTTGGTCTGCCGAGAGGCCTCTCGAGCTAAAGATGGCAATGGTGTTTGCTGTCTTGACTGCTGCTCTGCACTGCGTGCAGTACACATGCTCTGCCATGCATGCTGGGGGGAGGGTAGCATCTAACATCTTATGCCCGAAATCCTCTCAAATACACTAGCAACTGCATGGTGCGGAGTACAGTTCACAGGCGGCAGCCCAGCGCGCGCGGCGGCGGCCAGGCGCCGCCGCCGCCGCAGGGCGGCGCCCGAGGGGGGCGAGGCCATCGCGGGGCCGGCCCGGCGCGAACCTGTCCAGGGGCGGGCTCGAGCCGAGACGGCTTGAGCCAGGGGGGCTACGGGCTGGTGGGGGTACTTTTTCGGTCGCGCCGGCCGGCCCACTCAGACACTGTTTTTTTCCCAACCATTCTGTGGTGTTGGGTCCTCGTTTTGAAGAGACGTTGCCCGCGTTCCTCCTCCTCCTTCCTCCTCCTCCCCTTCCTCCCCCCTCCTCCCCCTCCCACACCCATTTTGGCACACCCCTCACACGTTTCGTGGCCCCATAGGGAGCTCCACCGAAGGCCCCAGTGGCTGCGCCCGCATGCGGTTCCACCCTCCATTCTGGCACACCCCTCACACGTTTCGTGGCCACATAGGAAGCTCCACCGAAGGCCCCAGTGGCTGCGCCCGCATGCGGTTCCACTTCCCATTCTGGCACACCCCTCACACGTTTCGTGGCCCCATAGGGAGCTCCACCGAAGGCCCCAGTGGCTGCGCTGGCATGCGGTTCCACACCCCATTCTGGCACACCCCTCACACGCTTCGTGGCCCCATAGGGAGCTCCACCGAAGGCCCCAGTGGCTGCGCCCGCATGCGGTTCCACCCCCCATTCTGGCACACCCCTCACACGTTCGTGGCCCCATAGGGAGCTCCACCGAAGGCCCCAGTGGCTGCGCCCGCATGCGGTTCCACCCCCCATTCTGGCACACCCCTCACACGTTTCGTGGCCCCATAGGGAGCTCCACCGAAGGCCCCAGTGGCTGCGCCCGCATGCGGTTCCACCCCCCATTCTGGCACACCCCTCACACGTTTCGTGGCCCCATAGGGAGCTCCACCGAAGGCCCCAGTGGCTGCGCCCGCATGCGGTTCCACCCCCCATTCTGGCACACCCCTCACACGTTTCGTGGCCCCATAGGGAGCTCCACCGAAGGCCCCAGTGGCTGCGCCCGCATGCGGTTCCACCCCCATTCTGGCACACCCCTCACACGTTTCGTGGCCCCATAGGGAGCTCCACCGAAGGCCCCAGTGGCTGCGCCCGCATGCGGTTCCACCCCCCATTTTGCACACCCCTCACACGCTTCGTGGCCCCATAGGGAGCTCCACCGAAGGCCCCAGTGGCTGCGCCCGCATGCGGTTCCACCCCCCATTCTGGCACACCCCTCACACGTTTCGTGGCCCCATAGGGAGCTCCACCGAAGGCCCCAGTGGCTGCGCCCGCATGCGGTTCCACCCCCCATTCTGGCACACCCCTCACACGTTTCGTGGCCCCATAGGGAGCTCCACCGAAGGCCCCAGTGGCTGCGCCCGCATGCGGTTCCACCCCCCATTCTGGCACACCCCTCACACGCTTCGTGGGTGGCTCCATGGGGAGCTCCACCGAACGCCCAGTGGCTGCGCTCGCATGTGGTTCCCCCCCCCTCATTTCGGCACACCCCTCACACGGTTCGTGGCCCCATAGAGAGCTCCACCGAAGGCCCCAGTGGCTGCGCTCGCATGCGGTTCCACACCCTTTTTCGGCACGCCCTCACACGTCTCGTGGCCCCATAGGGAGCTCCACCGAACGCCGCAGTGGCTGCGCTCGCATGCGGTTCCACCCCCCAATTCGGCACACCCCTCACACGTTTCGTGGCTCCATAGGGAGCTCCACCGAAGGCCCCAGTGGCTGCGCTGGCATGCGGTTCCACACCCCATTCTGGCACACCCCTCGCACGTTTCGTGGCCCCATAGGGGGCTCCACCAAAGGTCCCAGTGGCACTGCCCGCTTGCGTCCGCCACCACCCAGCACAGCCCTTGTTCCCTGCGCTTCACCCACCCAGAACAGCGCTTCGTAGCCCTATAGGGAGCTCCACCAAAGGTCCCAGCGGCACCGCCCGCATGCGTCCGCCACCACCCTGCACAGCCCTTGCTCCCTGCCTGCGTTTCACCCACCCAGTACAGCGTTTCGTGGCCCCATAGGGAGCTCCACCGAAGGCCCCAGTGGCTGCGCCCGCATGCGGTTCCACCCCCCATTTCGGCACACCCCTCACACGTTTCGTGGCTCCATAGGGAGCTCCACCGAAGGCCCCAGTGGCTGCGCTGGCATGCGGTTCCACACCCCATTCTGGCACACCCCTCGCACGTTTCGTGGCCCCATAGGGGGCTCCACCAAAGGTCCCAGTGGCACTGCCCGCTTGCGTCCGCCACCACCCAGCACAGCCCTTGTTCCCTGCGCTTCACCCACCCAGAACAGCGCTTCGTAGCCCTATAGGGAGCTCCACCAAAGGTCCCAGCGGCACCGCCCGCATGCGCCCGCCACCACCCTGCACAGCCCTTGCTCCCTGCCTGCGTTTCACCCACCCAGTACAGCGTTTCGTGGCCCCATAGGGAGCTCCACCGAAGGTCCCAGTGGCACCGCTCGCATGCGTCCGCCACCACGCAGCACAGCCATTGCTGACCGCGTCTCACCCACCCAGTACAGCGCTTCGTGGCCCCATAGGGAGCTCCACCGAAGGTCCCAGTGGCGCCGCCCGCATGCGTCCGCCACCACCCAGCACAATTGCGGCATTCACAACTGCATATGATTGGGTCCTTCGCCAGGCTAATTTTTTTTGTTGTTTTACATCCGCGGGCGGAAGCGCCAGCGGCGGCGGGTAACGGTCGGGCTGCGGCCGCTACAAATTTTCCGAAAGCACTGGTGGGGTTACGCGAAGTGTATAGAATTTGTTCTTTCACTGGTGTTTGGAAGAACGTGTTCGCCCAAACGACAGGCCGAGCGGGCGCTCGTCTTTCTGGGAGGCACTGGGAAAGGAATGTACTCATGAGGAGGGCACTGATGATGGAGGGTGTATTGCAGCAGCGTTGATACATCCTGGGTTGGTCCTCCTCCTCTCCCACCCTTTCTCCGCCCCCCTCGCTGTCCTCCATCCCTCATCGAACCGGTTCGTTGAGCAAAGCGGGCGCCAAATCGGCGCCTGGGACGTGAAGGACGAGATGCGTCCGGCATGGCGACCTAGCCCCGGAAGGCCCAGCGTGATCTGGTCCGAGGGCGAACTCCTCGCGCGCGGTATGAGGACAGAAGGAGGAAAGGGGGAGCGAGGAGGGGGGATGTGGAGGAGGATAACAGAGGATAGCGGAGACGAGGCGTAGGAGCATGGAGATGGCAAGGGCGATGAGAGGAGAAGAACAGAGGTGAGGACGGGCAGGACGACAAGGAGAAGGACGTGGAGGAGAAGGAGGGCAAGAGAGAGGAGAATCGGAAGAATGACGAGGGGGGGAGGACTGAGGAGGAGAGGAGGAGGAGAAGGAGGAGGAGGAGGAGGAGGAGGTGGACCACGATGACAAAAACGAGGACCAAGAAAACGATCTGGGCCCTGGCGCTCCCAGGCGCCTCGTCCACCCGTTCCCTCGGCACTGGCCGGACGCGAGGAGGGAGGAGGGAGGGATTTCCTCGTGAGGGGAGGACTGAGGGAAGAAGGAAGGGAGCGAGGTCTGTTGCTTGTATCCCCAGCTGACGCGTGAGCTTCTCGTCCAGACCCACGGGGTGCCAGGTCAACTACTGAGTCCGCCCACGCAGAAGAAGAAAGCGGGTCCTCGCCTGAGGGGCAACGATAAAGGAGCACTCGCAAAGGGGTGAAACATTGACCGGGAATCGGCGATATATCGCCGCTAGATCGGCGATAGGCTTCCGATTGCACATCCCAACGCTCCTGGGTGCGGTGGAGCTGTCGGCCCGTATCGGCGATGAATAGACGATTGAGGTTCGATGCATTCGCCCCTATGCCCATCCCCCCCCTATTGTCGCCCCTGGGGAAGGGGAGAATGAAGGGGCCCTGGGACACACAAATAAATACACACAAATAAAAAGGCTCCCCATATTTTCCCATATTTTCTGAGCTTTTGTCTTCCCGCCCAGTTCCCATATTTTCCCATTATGTCCTTGGGGATCGACGATTAATTGTGTCTGTGTGTTTTTTCCCTCCTGAGAGAAGGAGAGAGGGGAGGGATGGGGCGAGGAGAAGGGAGAAGGAGGAGACGGGAGGGGGCAGAGAGCGCGTGGGAGGGGAAAGACGAGAAGGAGTAAAAGGAAGTGGCATGCGGGAGGGGGAGGAGGGAAGGACATGGAGACGAGGAGGAGGGAAGAGGGAGGGGGAGGAGGGAAGGAGGATGGGAGGAAGAGGGAGGGGGAGGACGCAAGGAGGAAGGAGGATAAGGAAATGCGAATAGGGATGAGGGAAGCTGGGGGGTGTGGGGGATTATGGAGAATAGGGAGGATATGCATGGGGGGTCGCCTCCTCTCGCCTCATCCGCGATTTCGCCCGAGCGGTTTCGCCCGGGACGGTATCGCCTCGGCCGGTTTCGACCGGTAGCGAGTTTGCGCAGTGAGGCTTTCGCCATGCCCGGTCGGGCTTGCCCACGAACGACACCGTCGCGGGTGAAACCGTTTCGGGCGAAAGGCGCGCCTGGGAGCTTCCCTCTCTGGACGCGGATTTCTATGCATGAGACTCTGAACCAAATCATGATTAAGCCTATCAGCCCCTGTGTGCTCTTAGAGACACAGGAAAACCACCCCCCGCTGTCTCCTCGCCGTCCTGGCTCCCAGACAGGACATCCAATAATCTACGTTCAGTGAGGTAGTAAACTGATTAGTATGTGTGCGCTTCTGTGACAGCGAACACATTTATCTTTGTCCAGCGCCTCCACGTGGATCTGTAGCTCCTCCAACTTCGCCTCCGTCAGGCCCTCGACATTTCAGGACACAAAGCTGAGGTTCACTTCGCTAGGTTGCAACTGACCTCCTCAAAAATCAGGGTCTGCATGCTCGCTGTCACGGCGTCCGGCTGAGTCGGCCCACCTCGAATGCCAAGGTCTCCAGCAATGCATGTACGTGTGGACCAATTTCTTAACCGATGTGGGCTCATAGCACCCCGACTGCAGGCGCCGGTGAAACAATGTGGGGGTCACTCCTACTCTTAGGTCGGGCTTGTCCCCTACAGGCGGGTTTTGGGTGAAAAAATTGAAGACTCCAAAAATGCCCCAAAAGAGTCAAACAACAATCAACAAATAGTCCCCAGACTATTTTTCACTATTTTTGAACATTCCCCCCGTAGAGGGACAGGCCCGACTCAATCCTACTCCCCTGGACGCATGGCGGCGCCCGCTAGCTTCCCAGTGGGGAGGCCCTTCGCGATGGCCCATCGCAACTCGGGATAACAGGTCGTCAGACTTTGTCCTGGGCTCCTTGGCGAGAGTGCCCGTGAAGCTCCGCACGAATCTCCCACCCTCGTGCCAAATATACTAAACGCCGTTCTGCGACACTTTCGCGGTCAGGTCGTAATCCCCCCTGACCGCGATAATGGAAATATGGAGCCGCGTCGTTGACCGAGGTCGCGTCCGGCACCGCCAACATGTTGTTCAACATGCACGCCATGCCAAAGCATAACTCCGACCGGCGCGCTTGATGGGGGACCGGTCCTGGTGCGCCCAGATGTGCCCCCCTCCGCTACGGAGGCCGGCGCCCCGCAAGAGTTCTATCGCTCTGTTGCGCTCATTCGTTGCCCCGCCTCGGCGAAGAGAAGCTTTTGGCAACCACCCATTTACACCTATCTTCGCTGAGAGAGGGGCTCCTGCAGGATTCAAATGCTGCTCCAAACATGTGGTCGCCTGGGAAAGGTCGGACAGGCCGTCAAAGTTCTGGATCACAGCCGTCCCGTGCAAGTCGCGAGTGATAGAAAACTACCCGGCTTTTCTACCACGCTGAAGGTGGGGACGAGGAGAGGATAGAGAAGACAGATGAAGACAATAATGCGGCATCACACATTGGGTGCACACAGCTGCCAACAAATCGTGTTGGGATGGGCATTGGGGCGCATGGCAAAAGCGACGCTGCTCCGCAGCGGATGGCAAGGGCGAGCCTGGACAGCTGAAGCGGCCCAGAGTCGGCCAAGAGCGGCTGCAAACACCGCCGCGCAATGCCCGTGCAAACAGTGGCATCGAGGACACACATCCGGGGAGGGAGGGAGGAGGACGGACGGGGGCAAGGAGGGAAACAGCGCGGGTGGCAATTGACGCCATCATGGGAATCCCACCAGCCCTCTGGGCGTCGGTGATTTAGAGCGTTTCTTCTTCCACCCCTCCTTCTTCCCCTTCGGGGAGGGGTTTACCCCTCCCCCCACCCCCTCCCCACTGACCTGGACAGGGGGGGCCGCGACGCGTTGGAGCGTCCAAGATGAGCCAAGACGACTCCAAGAGTGCCTCAGGGAGCCCAAGATCGCCTCCAAGATGGTTCAAGATAGCGCAAGATGCCTCAAGATGGTTCCGAAGATGCTCCAAGACGCTCCAAGACCGCCCCAAGACGGCTCTAAGTGTCCACTAGAGCTCCCCTCGGATGCCCCCATGAAGCCAAAATGTTTCAAAACCCAAGGGAAAATCAATGTTTTTGGCGTTCTCGCGCTTTCGCTTCCGATGCCCACCCGAGGCGTCAAGATAGCTCCAAGATGGCTCAAGATAGCTCCAATAAGGGCCCAAGAAAGCCCGAAGACGGCGCAACGAGCGCCCAAGAGCCCTCCAAGAGCGGTTCAGGAGGCGATTTTAGAGGCTTTCCAGGAGCGACGCTAATTAGTGCTTCCGCTTTCTTTGACAGATCCCCTCCAATATGGGCTCTACCAGCGCCTCTGAGGCCTCCAACAGCGCTTCAAGAACGCCCCAAGAGACGCCCAAGAGGCCTCCAGGAGGCTCACAAGATAGTGAAAGATGGGCCAAGACGGTTCCGAAAGAGCTTCGGGGAGCCCAAGATAGCCTCCAATATGGCTGAAAATCCTACCAGCCCTCTGGGCGTCGGTGGTTTAGGGCGTTTCCTCTTCCACCCCTCCCTCTTCCCCTTCGGGGAGGGGTTTACCCCTCCCCCTACCCCCTCCCCACTGACCTGGACAGGACGGGCGGGGAGCGGTCAGAGCGTCCAAAACAGCCTCGGCGAGGAAGCCAAAATCATTGATTTGGGTTTTGGCCCCATTTTGGCCTCCTGGGGGGGCAACGCTAATTAAAGCTCAGCTCTTCTTTGATAGATCTCCTCCAAGATGGCACAAAGAAGCGCCCAGGAGGCCCCAAGAGGTCCCAAGATGGCCCCAAGATGGCCCCAAGAGGCCCCCAAGAGGCCCCCAGAAGGCCCCCAAGAAGACCCTCAGAGGCCCCAAGAGGCCCCCCCCCGAGGCACCCAAGACCCCGAAGAGCCCCCCAGGATCGCCAAGAGACCCCCAAGACGTCCCAAGAGGCCCCCAAGAATCGCCCAAGAGATACTCCAAGAGGCTCCTAGAGGCATCCAAGAGACCTCTGGCCCTTGTGCTTGCCCTCCTCCTCCTCCTCCTGTTCCTCCTTCCTGCTCCTACTCCTTCTCTTCCTCCTCCTCCTCCTCCTCCGCCTCCTCCTCATCCTATTCATCCTCCGTCTTCCCACTCCCTCATCCATCCATCCATCCACCTCCTCCTTCTCCTCCTCACTCCTTTGCACGGTTCGGCCGTCCTCCTCTTTGCTGCCGCACTTCCCTGATCACCTCAACTCGCCTGGACATCGTTTCGGAATGGGCTGGTGGGGATAAGCGAAGCGTCTAGAATTTGTAATAAGTACGGAGGTGCGTTGGACCCCCCTCCAGGGACGTCTTCGTAGGCCGAGGGTCCCTAGAGGAGGCCTCGGCCCCCTCCGGTGGCCATTGACGCCTTCATGTAGAGGTGGGGGGGGGACCCACGCAGCCCCAATGCTGGAAACTGCGCGGGGTGTGAGGCCTATTGACGGTCCTCACGGGTGAGGCCTAAAGATGGTCCTCACCCGGAGGGGGGGCGAGAGGGTCGGGGCGCGCGCGCTTCTCGGCGAGGTGGCTCCTGCTGACGGTCCTGAGGCGGGATTCCTGAAAAAGAGACCCCTAAACTGCATACGCAGCTTCGACTGCGAAACATAGTATGCCTTGCGCACTCGGTGAAGGGAAGGAGGGGGGAGGGGAATCCCAGGGGGGAGAGGGGACTCCAGGGGGGAGGGAGGACCCCAATCTGTTAATCTCTGTCCGG